CTGCTTTTGCCTGTTTAGAATATTTTTAACCTTTAAAAAAAATAAAAATTGATGTTTTTGATGTGTACCACATTTAGGTTTTTTTTAATTTTAACTCAAACCCCAACCACTGACCTTCAGCAGAGGTGTTCCCCGGCCCTTGGGGCAGCGTTAAGGGCACAGGGAGGGGGAGGGGAGGGTCCCACCGCCCCAAAAGCCAAGGAGGGAAAACCTCTCCCGGGACGTCACCGGGATCCGGGGGCGATTTCCCCGTTCCCGGAATAAAACCCGCCCCGCTCCCCTCCCCGGCCAGCGACAGCGACAGTTCCCGAGGCAGAAGCAAATGAGCAAATTAATAATAAACCAGCAGAAAACAGAGCCCGGGGGGGTCCCTCGGGTGCCCCCCCCTCACCCCCGGCTCCCGCTTCCCCCCGGATCCCCCGGGAAGGGGCGGGGGGGAGCGGGAACGGCCTCTCCCGCGGCCGGTCACCTCGGGTTAGTGGGGACATTCCATTATGATTATTACGATTTAATGTTTATTTTTCCTGCCGGGGCGCCGCCGCCGCCGCCGCCTTTCCCGCAGCCACGGGCTCCCGCCGCGCCCGGAGCTCTCGGCTCCCCAAGGGCAAGAAAACCCCTAAAACAGGTGGTTTTGGCCCCAAAACGCCCAGGCCGGCGGGCGGCGGGGACCGGCTCGGGGGCCGGTTTGCGGGAATCCAAAAGCGGATCCCGCATCGCCCCCGCCGCGGTGCCGGACCTTCCCCCCCCCCGCGGTACCGGCGCCGGGAGCCAGCCCGGTGCGGTCGGTGGTGGCGGGGCTAACGGTGGCTGCTGCTCTGTCTCCGGTACCGGAGCCTCCCGCCCGCCGCCCGGGGAGCGGTGCCGACTCACGCACGGCCGCTCCCCGCGTCCCTCCGGTACCGGCGACAACCGCAACGGGGCTGACTCATGCACCGGCGGCGCTTGGAGGCTTCTGCCCGCTCCGCACCGGTCCCCCGAGAGTCCAACCGGGGGGGGGACCCTCCGGTACCAGCACCAGCCGCCCCGCTCCCCCGCGGGGTCCTACCGGATCGGCACCTCCCGGTACCGGAGACCCCCACCGGGCGGGCACCCCCCGGTCCCGCCACCAGCCGTAGCGGATCGGCGCCTCCCGGTGCCGACAACCGGTGGACGGGTCCTCGGAGCCTCCTACCGGCTGGGCTCCTCTCGTTACCGGCCAGCGGAGACCCCCACCGGCGTGGGCACCTCCCGGTACCGGCCGCCCCGGTACGGACCTCACGCTTTATCGACCCCCCGGAGCCTCCTTACCGGGCGGGAACCTCCCGGGAGCGGCCGGTTCTCCCCGGTGCCGGTGGGCGCTCGGGCAGCCCGGGGAGGGTGGGGGGGGTCGCGGTGCGGTGCGGCGGGGCCGGCGCCGCTGCCGGGGCTGCCGCCAGCGCGGCCCCTTTAAGGCGACGCAAACGCGGCCCCGCGGAACAACCGCAGTCCCCCTACGTCACCGCCCCCTCAGCCAATAGCAGTCGCGCCGGGGCGCACCGAAGGGGCGGGGCCAGGCGGAGCCACGCCCCTACAGCCGCGGGGAGGGGGAGAGCGGTTG